AAGGAAGAGACGTTGTGCCGAACGTGTGAATCCCTGAGAGGAGGACTCAATGCGTAAATAGCGAATAAGTTGACTATATATAGTTCCGTCGTGGACCGATTGGTGCACGTTGCTTTGGAGGGAACAAAACCTATTAATAGGGAAAGCGAAGTGGTAACTGGCGGAAAAAACTGCCAACTGGTGAAACAGAAAAGTCAGGAAGCTCAGATTTTAAGGAGCGTTATCTGCCGATGCGCGTCATCGAATGTTTTTGATTTAGCTCCTGCGTGCACGTAAGCTCCACGTGCAGGAGTATGAATGACCTGCTGGGAAATTTTTCAACCCCGAAGCCAGATAAGACTAAAAGTTGAAATTTCAAGAGAGTATTTCTTGTTCATTTGCGACTCCGAAGTTTTAGACTCAGCTTCGTATACGTTTAACCCTCACTTGCAGACAAATGATTTGACCGGTCAGTTCATCCCGACGATTTCTGCACTTATCAAATAACAACGCAGTGAACATTTTTAACACCAAATGCGTCCGTTGGAAGAACAGCACAAAATATATGATTACACCAGCTATTCTAGTGCACTTTGCCATTTACTAATACGTGTAGCCCTTCAGTCCTCTAAATCATTTCTTCTACTTATAGTGTGCATGGGGCATTTCAAAAAGTGAAATTTCGCCGGGAGAATTATGCGCGTTTTGTGCATACGCAGTTGCTTACCCAACAGCGTTTATTGTGCTCGTTGATACGTATGATGTTTTGCGGTAAATTTTTGCTACTTACTGATTGCTTCGAAAGGTGAAAAGCTGTTTCCCTCTATAATACCCATATACTAGTTTCATGTTCCTTCGGATCATGCTTTTGCTTTTAGTGATGATCACGTACATTTAGCGGTCAGCTGTGTCCAGTTAACCACAGCAGGAACTTCCCTTCTTATTTTTGAGAATACTTCATCAAAATTTAATGTTTGAAGCAGGCTACAGTTCAGTGCACAAATTGATTCCAAAGCAATTTTTGAAATTGTTTGCTGAAAGCGGAGAGAAGCACTTGTTAGTAGGTTGTAAGGTGTATTTGAGAATCCGAGACAAAACTTCAGTGCCAGATACTCACTTTCTGTTCAAATAAGTCCGTGTAGCAAATGAAATGAAGTTTGTTGTTGGTCGAGCGCGTAATTAAAATTATTTCAGTCAGAGATCTGGTTTTCTCGCACCTATATATTTTTAATGCCACGGCTGATTATTAAACTTTTCTAGAGCAAACAAAAATCGAAATTAGGGCCAATCTGTGACTATGTGGTGCCTAGATTCTTAGCTTTGTTATTGTATAAGTTGGATTTTTTGAGTAGTTGTATTTGAAAAATGATTGTATGCAATACTTAGAATCTCAACGGCCTTTAGTCCGGAAACTTTTATCATTAAATTTTGGTTAGAGAATTGATAGGAGACCATTTGGCCTCCTGTTGTTAGATGAGAAATTCCTCATTTTGTCACAAACACTCTGTTTGTCCATGCTCAATATTTTGTGCAGTTCATCTGTTATGTTAACAGATTTATGAGCTATCATATCAATACACCAAGTCGAAAATTAGGCTATGGGTTGTGCTACAGTAAATGTGCAAGCTGGCATTTCAGCGAGACAGAGTTAGAAGGTATATCGCCTATTCATTCTAACCAAGGAAAGGATGCCATTAGCTACTTGCCGTAAAAGAAGAAGGTGCTGATATGAGCAACGAGCAAAGTTGGGAGCTGATCCCCTTCGTCTTCACCAGCTGTCCTTCCCTTACATGTAACATGCGAATGCTCGGCTTTATGAGTAGAGCTTCTCTTGTAGTGTAAAAATGATGTAATTAGAAATGAAGTTTTAGCTTTTTGACATCAACGGATAGCAGCAACGGTGGGCTGCTGGCTGTCCTCCTCCCGGCTTTGGTGCGGGCGATGTGTATAGGCAGATTGGTGCTGCTGCCGGTTTTTTTTGGGTTTTTTTTCTTGGATATTGTTTACTGAAGGTGTGGCCGGCTTACACACACTCGGTCAAGGAGAGTCCCAATCGCTATGACTGAAATTCCTCTCAAATTAAACGGTATTTTCTTAATGTGAAACTTCCCTATTTTAGGTCTGGAGTAATGAATTTTTGCGCAGTGGCGCTAGCACTTCATGATTTGGGCTATCGCGCAGTAGGATGCCGTATTGACAGCGGAGACCTGTCTTATTTGTCGAAAGAAATTCGCAGCAGATTCAGAGTGGTGGCAGCTTTGTTAGTACTAATGTGTATTCATTTACCAAGATCATCCGTACCCTTGTTTTGAGGCATTAAGTTGTAGCTATGCTAGCTTTTTCGTTGTGAACTCTTTCTGTATTAGTACCTAACATCCCCAGTACTTTTGGCATACGATTTTATTGGATGCATCCAAAATATGTGAAGTGCTTGGCAAATTTTGCTTTATTTGATAATCAGGACGATATCCTGCTTGCTATTTACGTGGCGAATCGATGCTTGAATGGCCATGATGAGACGTTTCGAGTGTTGCGCCACTGTTCCGTTAGGGCTATCATTCGTGTTTTCGCTTTCGTCACTGATAGCGTTTTGGGGCTGGCTGAACAAGGTGACAGGGCAGTGGAAAACTTGAATAGTACAATGCATTGATGAGATGGATTTGTTTTGCGATGTTCAGAGATCCATGCTTGGAATGGTTCGCAAAATTGTCGATAACAGCGTCAAATAATATCAATGAGGATACAATTATTTCGCTGAATGAGCAGCAACACGAAATCGATGCATTTGGCATTGGTACTCATTTGGTTACCTGTCAAGGACAGCCTGCCCTTGGGTGTGTTTACAAGGTACCTCATTAAGCTTCCATCTAATAATTCTGTTGAATTACAGCTTAACAAGTGGTAATTTCGGGTTCACCAATCTTCTTTTTAGCGAATCTGGCCTGCGTTTCAGCCAAATCAAATACTGTTTCCTAGAGCATTGCTTGCTTTCCCAAACATGGCCGCGTTCTGTCTTAACCCAGTCATAGCCATTATTTTTAACCACAGTCATTTCATCTTTATTATGCGCTATGAGACACCAGAAAAGCACCACACAAAAGGGATTTTTCTAAATTTGCTGCCTACATAAGCTTTTATTACGAGCCGAGTGTTATAGCTGGTTGCCTTATCGGGCGAGCCGAAAATTAAACTGGGTGAAGACGTCGCAAAGATACAAATCCCGGGACGTAAAAATTGTTATCGGTTGTATGGGAAGGGTGGGTTCTGCATTTGTGATTTGATGACGCTTGACACGGAGCCGGTGCCAAAGGAAAATCAGCCAATACTTTGTCGACATCCTTTTCAGGTTTACTTTTTCCGTTTCTTACCTTATACAAAAGAAGCAGGAAGCGAATGCTGATAGCTTGTTGGTAAGTCATGCTTCTACATAGTGGTGCTTTCATAATATGTATTTTGCCTACTGCCACAATAAAAACTGTATTGTGCTTGTAGAGTTGTTGAATCGATTTGAGCCGGGATTTATTGAGCTGACTCTTTGAACCGTTAGTAATTCGCTTTTTACAAAAATCGCATGGTAATATCAATTTTGTGTTTTCTTCAAATGGCTTGCTATGCATGTCGCACGTCTGCTGCATAACCGGCCAACAAAGCACGCTCAGAAACTCATTCTGCAGAGTTTCTTTTCAGTTCCAGTATGCTGAAGTCGATATCGAGCCAGATTTTTGGGTTGTTTTCTTACAGCATTCTCTAAATTTCAGGAAAACAAGCGAACACTTGTTGTTGCTCAGAGAGTCCAAGCAATACAACTAAAGTATTGGGAAAATGGAGAACTATGTGAGGTGGTGTCCCTATTGGAGTTTTCCTGTTCGAATTCAGATTAAATGTTTGGTTAAGAATTAGTCCATGAGTCGACAGCTGCCCAAGACAGTGCTGGGGTATGAAAAAAGGAGGGCGGGTATTCCTCGTCTTCAAGACCCTTCAGTTTGTTTATATTTACAAGCATTGCTCTGATCTTTTTCACATTCTAGCGACTGCCTACACTACTTGAAGTGAAGCGAAATGTTGCTGAATCGTTTACAGATTTGCGGGAAGATCATAAAAGATTGTTAAATCCAACGCCTTATAAGGTCCGTTCACTTACTGCTATGATCGCTTTCATCAACACAGAAGCTGCTCATTTTGAATTACATTAATCATGAATTCTTTCTCCGCGGAACTAATAGTATCACATGTGATAATGCTATTCTTGTAACGCATAAGGTCACTACCTGCAGATGGCACTACAAATAGCATGGGAGTATTGCATAAGAACTTCTGCTTGTCTTGGGAAGAAACATCAGCATGACATTACTGAAGATGGAATGATAAATGGGATGTGACTTTAAGACCATACCTGCTGTTCTGATTATGCGTTTTTGCATATATGCAAATGCGAAAATGCATATTGCGACGACTCCGATGTGCATGTATGTATGTATGTATTGTGTGTGTGTGTGTGTGTGTGTGTGTGTG